TGGACTGTCCAAGGTGTCTACAAACTGATCCCTCAGCAACAGCTTGAGAACATTGGGTGGGGCATTTGGGTAGGCCTTGTGTGCCATACTTTCCAAATCCTATGTCAGCCCTTGTTGGTCTCTCCCCTTTAGTGCGGACTCTAGTCCTAAACATAGCCCTGTAAACTTCAGACTGATATTGAGTTCCATAACTGATTTCTAGAGCCTGAATTCCTGTGGCTTCCTTCATACTAGATCAACCCTATTACTGACACTCATGTCTAGTATTTGACTTCTGGCAGGACTGAAGATGTCTGCATTAAGGTTTTGCTGCAGGGTCTGGAAGGGGATTCCTGTTGTCTGGGGCTGATTAGGTCCATGGTTAATATATCCTCCCTGTATAAAAGACAGTAAGTCATCCTTTAATGTATTTAATTCACTTTGAAATTTACTTATCCTTTCCATTTGTGTATGCTGGCTTTTTCTCAATTGTTGGAGACTTTTTTCCTGTTTCTTTTCTTGTTCCAGTTGCCACTGGTGCTGGTTTTCTTGCCACTGCTGTAGTCTCTCTTCTTATTTATTTTCTTTCTCCTCCAACCACTGCTGTAGTCTCTCTTCTTGTTTCTTTTCTTTCTCCTCCAACCACTGCTGTAGCCTCTCTTCTTGTTTCTTTTCTCGTTCTTCTTGTTTCTTTTCTTTCTCCTCCAACCACTGCTGTAGTCTCTTTTTTCGTTATTCTTGTTTCTTTTGCTGTTCTAGCATTGCTGTCATTAAATCTGCTAAGTTGTAGTTTGATTTGCCACTTCTCGTTTCCATCTTTTTTTTTCTTTTCCATCCCACTTCTGACATCAGTTTGTTACGTATCTGTTTGTTTGTTAATTTCCGGTATAAATTCTTTCCGAGGAACTTCAGCTATACAAGTCCCTTCTTGATTAAACCAGTTTATTCTTTCTCGATACAAATTTTTATTACACAGTAATTCCACAGTCAGTACGTTTCTCGTCACTTTAAACTTAACAACTTCATAATACACGCTATAAGTCACGGCGATTCACAATCTCGATAAATTTGCTCTCTACGAGTGCAAAACACACACTAGCTCGAAACAGAAACGTAAATTACCCGAAACTCACCGTAACTACTGTTCGCTCTACCTTGGCTGGCTTTTCGCTGCCAGGCTTATACACTAGCGAAGAGGTATCTCCAACATTCGCGGACTTCCCCGATAATTCGAGAAACATCACTCACGCTACCAGCGCCAAACGCGCCAGCAGCGTCACGTGACTTCCGCTGTCTTAACAGTATTTTCTCAATGATATAAGGCAGTGAAGGTCATTAAGCTATTCTTTACGGTCGCCAATTATCTTAATAAGTACCAAATATAAGGTGGCATAGTTCATATAATTAGTAAACAAAGTATTAGCCTCAAATTAATTACCTAATGTTCAGAAAAATATTTAACATCTGGAACAGATATTCTAAATGATATTATAATATACATTTAGTGTAAGCATTCTTACATAAATGGAAAAAATGGCGAGTTTGTGGGAAGAGAAGATATCCATCAAACAACAGAATAGGTATATTTTCTAAGTATACGGAAGTGAAACATTGCTATTTTAGCTGCTGCTTCCTGGAATTATGTAAATAAACAAATGCAGATGAATATTTCAAAGCTTGAACATAAGTTGTGATATGAAAGAATATATCTTTGCTTTTTTATAGGAACTTAGCTTGAAGAAGATCCAGATGGAAGGAGGTTCTGCCGATCATCTGTACATGTATCTACAAACTTCACTTGTTTCCGTATTACTCAGTTCTCGGTGTTAATTAACTAGTTTTTATTTAGTCAAGAGGTGCTGTTTCTTTCTAAGTTTTTAATCGTCAACTGACACAAAACATGTAATAAAAAGGCTATTTATTTAAAGAAACATTCCACGAAGATTTTCATTTTACAGCACGTAAGTGAACAGCAACTATTCTTGAACATTAATATAATACATACCACTTATCTTATTATTAACAACAAAAACCATAGATACTATAATATGGGCTTCTGGCTTCAATGCGCACTGTTTCTCATGACAGATGTTAATACTCTATAGAAATACATCGAATTTCAGTCCAACAAATACTACTCTATACTCCACTAAATGCATAAGATCATACATAGAACATTACACTTTTCTGTATTATCTATTACTCCAATGAAAAAATTTTATATATTTTCAATGCTTCTTCCTCACCATTTCACACATTCTGACGAGCCAATTTTGGGTCGCGACTCATAGGTTGAGGAATGTTGTTCCAGGTTATATGTTAAGAGAAAACTATAATAAAGTCCAGAGGGATTTAGATTTTGACCCTGATATTTTTAATGGATATCTCAAAATTTAATCTTAATAAGATTATCAAAGCAATATACTCATCATATATGCGATATCATAATAAATTATCTAAGTCTCCTCATTCTTCGTTATTCACGTACATTTGATATCATAGTAAACAATCTACGTTTCACAATTATCCACTTCATTTTAGAGTCACATACACTGTACACTTCATGGCACATTACAAGCTCACAAAGACTACACGTTATTACCACATATACTGAATCTATTCTACAAAACAATACAATGGTATACCTTATATTCAAATTTTGTACTTTTATCGTTTTTTTAACAAATAAAACAAGACAAACCGTGTTGATCTGGCTAGTAATTTTGCATGTATATAAGAAATGACATTGTCAGTAACTGTGCTGGAAACGCGACTTGCAGTGTTATATAATGTACACTCCTAATACGATTGTGACGTAAAATATCAAGTCGGCAGTATGAAATTATGTGCCAGTTTGAAGGTCACGTGAATTCTTAAAATAGAATCTCAGCTTTGGGTGTAATAATATTTTGCCAAAGTTATGTAAGAGACTCGTCAATTTCCTATATTTCTTCTTCTGTACTGTCAAAGTATGACAGGTAAACTCAACAACGTGAAATTTTATAAACCTGGATACATGCCATAAGGCACATAACCGTAATTACTTGTTAGTGGCTAGGCTATAAGCGGCTAACTTAAGGATGAGATATGAATGGTTGAAGACTAATTTAATCTCATAATGTGGAACTTCAGTGTGTTCAATATTCCAGCAAAGCTAATAAAATCATATGTATCCTACCCAAAATGTTTTGAAGATGGGCAACAACAAACTTAAGGTTTTGCTTTCAATCCATAGATTATAAGAAGTGAAACAGAATAATTTAGCAGAAAAAGCTGGAAGCTTCCATTGTTCACCACCGATATAGTAATTCACGAACTTGTGACGTTAAAATATCGTTATAAGTTGACGTGTTTCAACCTCTTTCGATAAACTTTCATAAACATATCGTCAATATGATGTGACTTGAAACTTATCTGTATGTCAGTATATTCCATATACATGAAATTTTCCTTTATATGCGTCTGATTACATAGCACGTGGTAGTTGTGGACTAACAATATACATAGGCAAACTACAAAACTTCTGATGTGTTGTTACATATTTAGATCTACCATCAACCAGTTACAGTTTGGAATTACAAACTTGGTTTATTGTGGTACAAAAGGTTAAGCACATAAACAGTTAAGAATTGTTTAGTAAAATTAATCAAACACTACACAAAATATAGGTTTACCAAGTCACGGCAGTATAATATATATATATATATATACTACCGTATTTATTATATGTATTTTCTTTTCAAACAAATAGCTTCATCAAATCATAATTGGAAAGCAAAAACAAACAAAACAACAAAAAATAACAATGAGTTTATATAACTAGTTCTGAAGATGTACAATTAAAACAAAGAAAGATGAACGGACAGATTAAATAACTGCTGCCAGGGCTTTTTACAACTGATTTACCGTTATTCAATATCGTTGAATAAATACACAAATCTGTATATCAAAGAAGGTTTCTAGAATCATCCTTTCTTTCTTCATAATTTATAAAACTGATACTCTGATTTTCTATTTAGAAATCTGGACATAAAAATCTGTGCATTTCCTGTAAAGATTGGTTTCAAGTTATCAAAAGATAATATACAACAAACAGAAATATATACCGTGGTAAACTTTTTAAAAATGTACATCAAATTTAGAAATAGAGAAAAGCATACGCAATAAAACATAGTAAGGAAAGATGAGAGATTTTCCTGAAAAATTATATACTATATAGTGTAAAATGAAAACATGAAAATCTCATAGAAAATTATCTTACACGATTTACTCTTAATTCATAATACAGATAAAAAAAGAAGATAACAACAATGAAAACGAGTTTGATTCTACATAATATACAATAACACTAGAGATTACATACATTCTATATACATTATTCGCAGTAAAATAATTCTCTCAAGGGACACAGGCTGTCAATACTCTTGTCATTCACTCTTCAGTAGGTTCTCATTTCTAGGCGCTGTATAGAACGAATTATTCTGTCTAATTTACAAAACCTACGGAAGTGACTGTGTAGCTTGTTTCATAATGAGTGATTTTATATATACAAACATAAACAAACAGTTGGCACTTCATGCATTTCATTCATTTATTTAAAATATAACAGTTCGTAATATTTCTTGAAGATTTTCAGAAGCAAAATTCAAATTACAATATTTTTCTTATCCAAAGTGAGTAATAAAGACATTGTATCCAAGAGATGCGGATCATCTCAGAAAATAAACTTTAAGGCTTAGCTTTTTCATCCAATTACGTGATTTCTCATAGTGTGATTAAAATAATTCACTTTTAGAAATTCACAAATTGTATATGTTCAGACACGGACGGATATACCATCAAACAGGAAGAGATCACTGGTGCATCTTAGCTCGTGAATAACAGTAACGGCTTTAGAAGCTCATGGTATCCTGCTTCCATTATATTATAAACTTCTGAACATGGTTTTGTTTGTATATTTTTTATATTTTTAAACTTGAACATGCGTGTAAAAACGTAGTAGCTATAACAAAGCAGAGGGTCACTCGATTAAAATAATGAAAAAAAAGAGAATTATTAAGATTATTTATTTTCAAGTAGCAAAACAATCATAAATTTAGAGAAAATGATAACCATTCTTTACTTGATTTTAACTTGAATCAACATCATAAAAAAATCAAACTTATCAGAAATAGTATTTATTCACGGCACTGGACTGTAAAAGTGTTAGAACAGCAGATTGCCCAAAAGTTTGACTTGGAACGACAATTCTAATAGTCTATCAGTCTTTAGCAGACATTTTATAACAATTAATTGTATTATTGCACACGCCATAGTAATTGACAACTATCTTAGAATGCAAGAGTTTTGTATGAAAAGAAATTAAAATTTGAATGTGAAAAAAGTATCTTCTATTAACGTAAACAAATTCATATCCTTAAAGCTTAATCTCCCAGGTTAACTTTAAACTCCTATTATCGCAAGCACTTTCTTCAATATACAAACATTACAAACTAGGGGTTACAAGTAAGCCTAAAATCAGTCTATGTTGGAAAATCTTAGAACATTGGAAGAAATCACTAAAATTATAAAAGTTCAAACTTAACGTAGATTAGAATATATAGCAGAAATGGCTTTAATAATCAATCACAGATTTCACAGATGATATTGTCCCTTTCCAAACATGAATATAAAAAAAAGAATATATACGTAACAGTCCTTGTGGAACAGTTACTTTAAACATCTCCAATGCTAGACTTTGCTTCAGTATACCCATGGTCGTCGGTTTTTAGTTGTAATACCAGGGGGGCATGACGCTGTTGCGTCAGAACTGGTGGTGACTGTACTGGCTGCTTCGAAGTTAAAGTCAAGGTTACCATCTACATTCAGTTCATGGCGGATGACCTGATCTACGTCACACTCAAGATCACCCTCTAAAATGTCCATATTTAGATCCAAGTCATTTGGCAATGCAATGTGATTGGGTTGTGGCATAAAGCGGCCAAATGCTTGATCATTAGAAGTGCCATTTAAGAAGTACTCTATAGGTAGATTATCTGAAGTCAATGCTGCCATGTTGTCTTGAGAGAAGAAGTTAGATTGTTGGAGAGGCTGTTGGCTAGAGTGGACAGCAGACAAAGCCTGTATAATTGATAGCTCTTTACGAGATTGCTGTTGGTTTAAGTGACCAGGAGGCAGAACTTGCAAGGGAGAAATTTCCGCTGAGAGCTGCTGTTGACTGGAGTGACCAGGAGACAGAACTTCCAATACAGATATATCTGTCGGGTTCTGCTGTTGACTGGAGGAGTCTGGTGACAAACGCTGCGCTCTAGGCAGTGTTATTTGGAGCCTAGTATGGCAAGGAGAAACAACTTGATCTTGAAATATGGAGATTTCTGTTAATTGTGGGCTGTGCTTTGGACTTTGGTCATGAGATTGTTGCCTGATGAATGTTTGTTCGTCACTGGCGGGAGAATTAAAAAACTTATAGTCGTCATTCACTTTCCCATTGTACTGGTAGCTGTCTAGATTATAGTTGGTGATAGTACTCTGAGGACTAATCACTGGAGATGTGTATTCTGGAGGGCTCGTCTTCAAGTAGCCCAATTCTTTCTCCTCAAGTTTCACTGTCTCAGCTAAAGAGTCTCCAAGTTGGTCAGCACCATACCTATCCAGGTTATCAGATGATTGCATGAAGAGTCTATGATCTGGAACCCAAGGAATGGGAGACAAGCATGGGACTTGATTGTCATGCATGTCTGTTTCAACGGCAGGGATGGGTGAGAGTCGGCCACACGAGCTGGCATTAGATGACGTTCGAGGACGGAAATCTGGGCTCAACTGGAAGCCAATATGTGTTGGAGACTCGGGGAAAGTATCCAGTCCTTCAGAAAGTTTGGAGGGTGGACTGGCAGAACTGGTGTCCAATCCACTTCGCAGTGCTTCCACTTTCTTTCTAACACGACCTCGCTTCTTCTCGTATTTTTGAGTTTCCATACTGGTGGCTCTCCGCCGTGTAGACTTCCCTGGCTTGGCATCTGGATTGATCATCCACCATGAACTTTTGCCAGTTCCTTCGTTCTGTACCCTCATGAAACGACTGTGCAAAGATAAGTTGTGTCGAATGGAGTTCTGTAAATGATAATAAAAAGAGACTTAAAATATATAACATACGCATTATTCAACTAAATCGTGAATAATAAATATTTTCTGACAATAAATAGCTTTTGTTGTTTTAAAGAAATTGGTCAAGCTTTTATACATTATTTTTATAAATGTTCTTCATTAACGTGCACCGTACAAGTAAGAAATAGTTGTTGTTGTTATCTTAGCCCAAAGCTACACAAAAGACTATCTGCGCTCTGTCCATCGAGGGGGAATCGGACCCCGGATTTTAGCGTTGTAATTCCGTAAACTTACCATTAGTCTACCCGGGAACGTAAGAATCAAAACATGAAAGATCCATAGCAGGCCAATAAATAAATCTTAATAAAATATTTTGAGAGCATTTAACTGTATGCTAAAGTAAATACAAAAAAAAAAGATAAATGGATCTAATCATCTGTGCAGTAAAGGAAAATATTCAATATAACACTGTTGGATCAACTTCGTTCATAAAAGTGATGCTAAGGTTAGGAAATATATATATATTTATTATTTGATAACAAATGTAAAGACATTGTCCATGTTTTCAAACACGAACTTTAGGAAGGTTAATTACGATTTTCCACAAAAAACATGCAATAATAGCTTTCCAACCATCTTTTGTCCCTGTCTGATCCTTTCACTTTACTCATCAAGCCAGATTGTCAGGTGTTCGAAATAAACTTTCCGAATCTTGCGATTCGTTACGTTGAAAGAGAGACTGTATCTTAATCATTAACTTATTTCAGAATTTATAAACATGTATCATTATCATATCGTATTAATTGCCGTTGAGAACTCAGAGAATAAACCCATATCGAATTTCACTAATTACGGAGCTAGTCCATAAGGAAGGCCCCGGCATGGCCAGGTGGTTAGGGTGCAATCTGTGGGTCGCGGGTTCGAATCCCCGTCCCACCAAACATGCTCGCCCTTTCAGCCATGGGGCGTTAAAATGTGACGGTCAATCCCACTATTCGTTGGTAAAAGAGTAGCCTAAGAGTTGGCGGTGGGTGGTGATGACTAGCTGCCTTCCCTCTAGTCTTACACTCCTAAATTAGGGACGGCTAGCGCAGATAGACCTCGTGTAGCTTTGCGCGAAATTCAAAAACAAACCAAACCATAAGCAAGGTTGCATACAAGGATTATTTTTCGAGTTGGCTGCACCCCGTCCAACATTTATTTTTTCTTCTTAATTGACAGAGGTTAGTCTATCATATAGTTTGGTGAGTTGTGACTGTAAGGGTTTCTGCGATCCGAGAAGATGGTCATGTTTTGCTTAAAACTTAAGGTGCACAGATGTATGCGAATATGATAATCAGGGCACAAACAAAGTATGTCACAGTTCTTACTAATAATATCTCTGTGAATGAAGATGACTGAGTAATACAACAATGCTGGGTTAAGACATTTTATTGCAAACAATTGTGTGTGAATGTTTAATTTTACATTAAAAGTTACAGACATGTTTACATTAGATTCTCGGCACGGTACTTTATTTAAAATATACATTAATAAATAAACACGTACAAAAGATGGAAATTAAATTTAAATTATCTTGATACAGAACGTATTACTGTATTAGTTACATGTAAATACTAGCATTCAGTTCCTTTCATAAAAAATTCAGGGTATTATAATGACCCCCCCCCCCCCGATCAGCCTTCCGCGTTAATCTGGCAGTAAAGGATTTTTAAAACATGCTGTTTACATTTCAAACACACTTAGCCAAGGCGGAGAGAAACATATTTTTACTCAGGAGACTCATCTCTGTGAGTTAAAACCATAATATTGGAACAGAGGTACACCCAAACTAAATTTTTGAGATATCAACTCATGAACTATTAGAAGTTTCAAAGTTTGGGGGTAATAAACCAAAACAAGTAACTTCTTGTTTAGAGAGCTTTATAATTTTTACGCAAAGCTAAACAAGATCTATCTGCGCATAGTCGTCCATAATGTTAGACTAAAAGGAGAAAAGCTAGTTAAAAGCACCCACCGACAACTCTTGTACTACTCTTTTCTGATCGAATAGATATATGATTTGACTGTCATTCTTATAGCATACTCTCGACCCCAAAATGCGGAGGGCGTTTTTTTAGAACGGAACGCGAACCTCGAACTCTCTGATTCAAAGTCAAGGGAACGCTAAAGACTAGGCCACGCCCGGTCCTCTTACACAAGACTCAAAAGTAGCTGTGTTCACAACAATCTTGTTATGTTCAGTTTGTATTTTAGGAATCATGAGAAAATTTATATTACTTAAAATAATTTTATATGAGAAGATATATTGAAATGTTACACCGAATTAAACCGAGTTAAACCGAATTTCGATGCCCGAAACGCTATACTTATTCTAATATAAAAATAAAATGTTTCAATTAACTACTGTAAGCTGTCAACGAATTTGAATACTTTGTGCTTTTTGACACAGAGGCGATTGATTGTATACAGGCAGATAACAAAAATCTTTCAATCCTTTAATTTTCTTTTCAGTTTTTGAAGGTTATGATTTCCTAGATGGGCACAGAAACCGCCTACAGCGCTACCCATGAGTATCCAAAATAGCATAGAATGAAGAAGACTTTCTATCTGAAGGGAAGGAGGAAATGATAATAACTTACGAGTGAAAGTAAAGAAGAATGTAATAATTTACCGATACGACATAGTAGTGGTCGAGACGCTATTTGTACAATTTAACTGCTTGAACAGCAGTTGTTCTGGTGTAAATTACATTAAGATGGTGAAGTATAAGTTTTATTAATTTTATTTCATTCATTGTAAATCAGAATGGTTTTTGTATGGATTATCAACATCAAATAAATTAATTTATTTTAACACCTTGTGGCTATGTCTGACGTGCTGATATTACTTTCTCTGTTTCCTCAAACGTTTGTTTGTTTGTTAAATTTCGCTCAAAGCAACTCAAGGGCTGGCTGTCCCTAATTTAGAGATGATAGATTAGAGGGAAGACAGCTAGTCAACAACACCCACCGCCAACTCTTTGGCTACTCTAATCTAATAGCGGTATTGACCGTTACATTTTAACGCTCCCATGGCTGAAACGGCAAGCATGTTCAATGATGGGATTCGAGCCCTCGCCCCCCAGATTGCCCTAACCACCAGACTGTCTCAAACTTCGGTCAGGATTACCACAATACTAAGAACCAACGACTGCTTCAGTCAATTTCCCAAATATTTAATTTTTCGGATCACAACATTATATTAATCAGCGGTCTGAGATACATACGCATATAACTGTCCATAGATACGTTAAAATCAGAAAGTAAAAATCACATTTGTTAAATAACGTGGTAGACAACAATGACTACCCACGTTAATTCCTACCCTATTGCCATACAGAAAATTCCGAGGAGCAGTCACAGTGTCCCAAACTCATATTGCACAAGAGAAATTACGCTTTGAAACACATTTGTCTCTGACTCACCGGTATGTCACGTGGTCTATAACTAAAAGTCGGCTGTAACCAACCAGTGGGGTACATGGCAGCGAACGTGTCAACTAATTAATATTATTACAAACACTACTAATGACTTGCGTAAGGAAGCATATTATGCTAATATAATAAACAAATTGAAAGACAACGATTAATAAGCACAATAAAGTGTTTTTATTTTGGGGGAACATACAGCATGTTTCAACAGAAAACAAATTAATGTTCTGTCAAAACGTGTAGTATGTTCCCCCAAAATAAAAACATTTTATTATGCTTATAAACCGTTGTCTGTCAATTTATTACTACTAATGATTGTAACTATGTCATTTGCTATGATGAACAATAATTTGAATAATACGATAAAAATACAGCTAATTTTACAAATGACTTGAATGTGATAAAAAAAAGCTACAACAACAGACGTCAATGCTTTTAAGTGGTAGTTAACGTTAATGATCTATTTAAGTGGTTGGAGTAGTATAAGTAACATTATTGACGATTTTAAGTACCTTGTTTTAGTCAAGTATGGTATAAACAATAATACTGATGGTTTAAAAAGTACTTTTAATGCTGTAGTTAAACAGAAGTGGTAACTATAGTAGACGGTTCGAGTGGTTATGTAAACAACAATTCTAATGCTTTTAAACCCCTTGAACATTACAGTCAACACTACTATTACTGATAAAATCATAATTATATGATTATGAACTAAATACTTACAGCAAGTGTGAGACATTATTCAGAAAATGTAGCTACTGGATTAAGAAATAAGTATTTACAGCAAGTGTAAAACATTATTTAAAGAACTTAACTGTTGGATTACGAGCTAAATATTTACAGCAAGTGTAAGGCATTACTTAGAGAACTCTACTTATGGAATATGATCTAAATATGTACAGCAAGTGTAAGACATTATTTAAAGAACTTAACTGTTGGATTACGAGCTAAATATTTACAGCAAGTGTAAGGCATTACTTAGAGAACTCTACTTATGGAATATGATCTAAATATGTACAGCAAGTGTAAGACATTATTTAGAGAACTTAAATACTGGAGTACAAACTAAATATTTAGAGCACGTGTGAGGCATTTAGAAGACTTGTATTAGAAAACTATTTCTAAATAAGATAATATGTATTTGTTAAAATGGTTTTTACACCAATCACTCCATGAATATATTTCAAATTTGTTTTTATGAATTACAGAGGGGTGATCACGATCCATGCCAACGACATAAGAATAAGTGTCTAGGCCTTACAGCGTTTTTTTTAACACCACCGATGATATTGTAGGTGATGGCTACTGTTATGGACTAATGCTCTGCAGCGTAATCTCACTACAGAAGGTCTTTGCGTAATACGCTGAAACCAGTGTTGACCTTTCTTCTTTACATGCATTCCAAAGTCCATCAACTGTGTGTCAACGACGACTTCTGATTGCCAGTTTGAATAACCCAGAGTCATAGATGTAATGATAGGTGTCTGCGAATGGTATAGTATGAAATCCCGTTTGTACATGCAACTGGAGAGAA